GATTAGCCACAGCACTAAAAATTCTTTCCATACCAACAGTAGACACTGGAATTAAAGCAGGATTTTGAGCCAGTTTTACATATTTGAAGCAGCAGGCTCTTTGTTGAAAAACATTTCCACGTATCAAGAAATATTCTCTCAAGGCAATGGGACAAGATACCAAAGTCCTTATAAAGAGGATTTGGAGGGACTTTTATTTTTTCCTTCATGGAGACAGTTTCCAGATTTGAACTATTTACCAGAAGAGGGGGGGTTTCATTATTAGTCAAATACAAGTGCCACATACAGACTCTCGGAGTCTGGTAGAGGAAATTTCCAAAAGCAACACTTATTCAGGTATTTGATCAAGGTTTGTGGTCTTCCTGGCTTTTGACCCCTGTGGTTTATGAATCCCTGTAGTCCCTTGCAGCTGACACTTAGCACCATGAAATTTATTTAAAATTAATATGCAAGAGTTGATTTTTACCTTGTAATGTTAGTTCACTTTGCATATGTGATTATAGCCCTTTCTCAATTCTAATGTTCTCTATTTCTGCTTTTTGCCTTATTTGTAGAGGTTTTACCTGTTCTACTAATATTTTATATAAATTAGATCTTGGGTTTAGCTATCCTTCCCATAGGTTTGTATTTAGTTTTTTTAACATACCAATTTCTGATTTTATCTATTAATCAGTTTCTTACCCCCACTTTCTAGTTTCTTGAATTGAATGTTTAAATTGATTTATATTCTTAGTTGTTTAATTATAAAAGTTTAAAACAATGAGTTTTCTCTAAATATAGTTTTGGCCTCTTCCCATAGTTTAACAGAGAGTGGTTTCATTATTTGTGGTTTTTAAATAGTCCATAATTGTGGCTTTCCCCCCTTTTACCCAAGAATTATTGAAGTGTTTTTCAAGGGGTTAGATTTTTACGTTATCATTGTTAGTTTCCTTCTTTTACTCAACAAACACTCAGGCAGCCTCTCCTCTGAGTCGGGAACCATACAGCTGCAGGAATAGTAGAGGAAATACAGCCTGCACAGCCACTGCCTCATGGGCTGGCTGGTCAGTCCAGTGAGATACAGACGGAGCCACACAATTAATCACAATCACAATGAATATTATGGAAGAACATCTCAGGGTGCCCCACGACTTCTAAATTTGACTACAAGTGAGGTGGTCTGTTGTATTTAGTGAACGTCCCCTTAAGCTTATTTTCTTACCTCTTTTACTGAACGTGAATGCTTTTAGTTTCTCTTTGACGCAGGTAGGCGAATAATTTATTTTCTTGCACAAATACCTAATGGTTTCTTCCTGGGGCTTCCTATAAATTCTAAAATCTAAAGGACTCTCAATTCATATGGGGTTTTTAGTTTATGGCTGTACTTGTAATAAAATTTTAAAACATGTATAAGTAAATGCTGTTATTTTTTTGAATGAACAAACGATATTTAAAAAATTAAATCTTAAAATATTTTTTTGGCATAACCCATGCACATTAATTTTAAAAACCACTAAATAGTGAAAGGCTTAGTGAAACAATGAGCACCCATCTCTTCATGCTTCATTCATTCCCCAGAGGCAAGCACTTAGCTGTTAGCTGGTTCTGCTGGTAGTTTCTGCCACATTCCCACCAGTGTGCTTTTGCTGTAGCTTCTTGATCCATTTATTTTTGACAGTATTGGGTGACTTGTTTGTATGATAGATGCTGGTTTAGTTTTCCTAATCTTCCCTCATTCTTCACACTCATGTTACGACAGTTAAATCACTTGTTAAGTGAGTATTTCATGTTTTAATTATTAGGGATGTGTAAGTAGGGTTCTCTGTAATCAAGTAATAAACTATTAAGGACATGTCCTTTCTGGAATGCTTCTTTGTTTTCCTAGAATTCTAACTCCCTTTAAAAAAAACAACCTCTTACACTAGCTTCCTTCTATCTAGCAGATATTACACATACATACCACACACACACACACACACACACACACACACATACACACAACCCTTGAACAATGCAGGTTTGAATTAGACAGGCAGTTCAGTTGACCTGCGAAGTTCAAACCTGCATTGTCCAAGGGACAACTGTATATGTAGATATAATATTTTATATATAATATATTATATTGTAATATTATAGATTTTTAATATTACATTTTAAATATTATATAGTATTATAATAGTTTAATATATGTTTAAATTTTAAAATTTATTTTTATGATATATAGTAAATATATATTTTTTCAACAAATATGAGGTCCTATCAGGTTTTTATGGCACCTTCTCTTTCTCTGGACACATCTCCCAGATGTGGACCAGTCATTCTTAAGGCCTGCTGTTCATCTGTCATCGCAACAAATCCCTTTACTGCTCCTGGATTGGACCCACAGTTTCCTATATCCCATGTCTTCCTGAAGTTGGTTTATTCCTTTATTTTGCTAGAGGAAGTTCTTAAGTAGTTTTTAAATACATGATTGGGAAATAGATGTTCTGAGCTTTCTCATGTCTTCTATCATCCTATGCATTATTATTCAGAAGTCTGATGCTACCCTGACTTTCATTTGTGGGCAGAGAGGAGAGAGAAACTTGGAATAAACATTTAAGGATGAGAAACTCACTAAAAGATGGAGCAGACGAGTGAAGCTAACCAGATCCAGCCCTTGGGAGTGTGAGTGTCAGGGGGGGGGGGGGGGGAGAATATGTGTATAGAGGCAAGGTCCACAGGGGGAGGTGTGCACTGGAGGAACTCGGCTTTCAATTTAGGAAGCATGCAAATGTGACTGCCTTGGTTGTCCCACTCTACCAGAGAAGCCCAGTTCATACTGACTTGAGAAATCTGCAGAGCGATTTTTGGGGACATCCTCCAGGGCTCTAAGCTCAGATTGGCCTGGTCATAGCCATGTCAGGACACAGATGCCATGCTTTTCACCTCTGTGGTGCCATGCATAGAGGTACTCGATAGGCGGGGCAAATTCGATAAATATGGAAGAGGATTTGGGCAATTTCCCAGCTGGGTCCAGAGAGCCAGTGGTATGGGCACTGGGCATCAGCATGGGTCAGCTGCAGTGAAGTGAGGGTTCTAAGTTGCATTAATAAAGAGATGACCTCCTCATCAAGAGGATGAGGGACCTGCCAAATTTTACAATGGGACAGTTCATAGCTAGAGTGTCTTGTTCTGATCTAGGTGTATATTATTCATTTAGTGACTTTCTCATCCTTAAGTGTTTATTCCAAGTTCCTCTCTCTCATCCATAATTTACTTATTATTTGGGTTCTTGGTCTCTATTTACTCATCATGTTGCTATAATAGGCATCTCTCCTCTGTGAATTGAGTTCCCCAAGGATACTCAGACTGTGATTATGAACCTGAAGCAGAGGCAGTAGTCTTGGCACCATCTTTGTCAGTTGGCTTGGTGAAGAACAGATGAGTTGTATTTTATGGTGTTTTACAAATAGCAAATGGGGGATGGTGTTATTTCCTGTCCATTTGTTAATGTGATGAATTACAGGCTCAAATTAGCAAGCCAGCTAAGCAACCGCTGTCCCTAGCATCTGTGTAGCGTCCCCACCCTGACATGTCCTGGATTTCTCAATAGGAAAAAAACAACTTGCTATTTACTCTCTAACTTGTTCAGCCCCGGGACCTTCCTTTTAGCTTATTCTTTTACTGCTCCTCCTTGAAGTCCTTACACTGCCATGGCTCAGCTGGGTTGTCACACAGCTATGTCCTCTGTGGGTCCCAGAGGCTGAGGATCAGGGAATTGGGTAGGGCCTGCCCATGGCAACCCAGGCTCCCTGATTTACCAGACATGGCCTGAGTCTCGGATTTGCAGACCTAGGTCTTGGGAACTGCCCTGCACAGTTCTAAAATCTAAAGGGATTACTTCAGTTCCACAGGCCTGCTTTTCTTGGTGCTGGATGTCCCCTGGTCCCGTTCCTCTTTGCTGTTTGATAGGCATTGACCACTGGGCTACCTCAGTCTGACAAATGTGGCAGGTCTGCTGGTCCAGGTCCTTGCACAGATAATTGGGGTCTCAACACCAAACTTGACCAAGGACGCTCTAGGACCAAGTTCCCTCTCCATCATACTCCTGAACTCAGCCACTGATCGCAAATCCCAGAGGCACAGGGTCCTGTGCCAAAGCCAGCTCTCTCCCAGTGACCTCACTAAGACCCTGTTTTTAAGCTTGTTCTCCCAATGTAGACTCCTCTCCTCAAGGAGACGTGTTGCCATTTCCTGGCACTAGTCCTTGACCTTGGACATGCATGATGACCAGGTTTCCATGCCTTTGTTCCAAAAGCCTCCTATGCACATTGAACCACTCTTTTCCTGGTGACTAGCTTTACACACCAGAGATCTCAGTCATAAAGGATCTCGCTTCTCTAATCTCTGGCCTGTGGATACCTGTTCCTCCTATATTTTCTCAACTAAGTCATCACTTAGATGACTGCATATGGATAAAAAGCTTGGCTTCTTTTTAATTAAAATACCATAACCAGTGTAAATATGACCCAGACATAGACTATAGGGAATCTGGCTATGGCACAGCACACACAGGTGAATCGTGTGAAATTTCCTGGGGCTTTCAGCAGTGGCAGAGATGCTGAGGAGAGAGCCAGTAGCTTTGGACTCAGGGAAAGAGGCTGATGTAGCTGTGCATTACTCTGGGACATGGAACAATTTGCTTTACACTCTGGGCTCCTTGCTGTTGTAGGGTCTGTACATCATGGAGGCAGGTGCTGTGCAAGGGGCTCTGGCATCATGTAGAACAGTGGACCAGGTAGCTTCAGAGGCTGTCTTCCAGGTGTGAGAGCCTACGAAAAGTGACAGACCGAGGCCATGGAATGTCCCATCTCAGCACGAAGCTGCCTCTTAAACCCTTTGGTTGTGCTCAGGATTCAGCACAGCACAGACATGCCATTCCGATGTCTCCTTTTAATCTTTGCCCACAGTTGTTTTTTCTCTTTAGCTTCTTCCGGTTTATTTCTCTTCTTTCTCATACATATGTGTTCTTCTCACTCCAGCTTTTGAATCGAAAAGACAAGACCACCTTTGAGAAGTTGGACTACTTGATGTCTAAAGAAGATAATTACAAGCGGACTCGGGAATACATCCGAAGCCTGAAGATGGTTCCCAGTATTCCATATCTAGGTAGGAGTCTGGATCAGTTATTATTTATTAAGAAACCTGCTCAGTACCAAATAAGATGTTTTGTAGTTTCTAGTTGAGAATTTTCCAGGAAGCAGCAGCATGGGCCATGGATACAGAGGTGATTAATTGGTTGGCTCCTTGGATTGAAATAGGTTGATGATACTTCCCAAGGATGGAACCTTGATGAAGGCCTTGACACAGGGATATTCTGCTTCTCACACAGTGTCCTGTGGATCCCAAGCCTCCCAACCTGCAGCCCAGAAAGGTCACAAGACTCTCACTGGTTCATCTGTACCCTCCCAAACTAAGGGAACTCAGGCCCCAAAGCCTCTGTTTTGGTTCTCTGGACATTATTAATGTGCGTGTGTGTGTGTGTGTGTGTGTAAATCCTAACCCGTGGATATGTTATTGATGTTTTAAAAATTGATTTTAGAGAGAGAGGAAGGGAGAAAGAGAAAGACAGAGAAACATGGATGTGAGAGAGAAACATGGATTAGTTTCCTCCCCTATGTATCCCGACAGGAGATTGAACCAGCAACCTAGCTATGCGGTCTGATCTGGAATTGAACTGGCAACCTTCTGGTGCTTGGATGACGCTCTAACCCACTTAGCCACACCAGCCAGGGCTTTGTACTAACAAAATTAAAATAATGATTATTGATTCTTCTGATTAGAAAATAATACACATTTATTGTAAAAAATTAGGAAGAAATTTACTATAATTTGTTATCCCACCTACAGATAATCTTGTTTTGCTTCATATCATTTGATTTATTTGGTTGCATTTAAAAAATATATGTTTATACTATTGTGAACATGTAATATTATTACCTATATTTTTATACTGTGATTCAACCCCACTAACTCTAATTTTATGAAAAAATATTTCTGTCTTTTTATGATCTAAAAACAAGGGAAAATAAGGTTTTGTAGAAGTGACCTCTAAGCCGAAGACGGTTTGGCTCAGTGGTAGAGCGTCGGTCTGCGGACTGAAAGGTCCCAGGTTCGATTCCGGTCAAGGGCATGTACATTGGTTGCGGGCACATCCCCAGTAAGGAATGTACAAGAGGCAGCTGGTCGATGTTTCTCTCTCATTGACGTTTCTAACTCTCTATCTCTCTCCCTTCCTCTCTGTAAAAAAATCAATAAAATATATTAAAAAAAAAGTGACCTCTAATATTTTCAGGGATCTAATGCATTTTGCTGGACATATGCTTTTGACAACTTCAAAATTTCTTCCATAAGCATGGTTAATTTAGATTTTCTTATTCTCTCAAAGCCAATTTGGAAAATTGAATTTTAGTAGAAAATTGTCCATTTGATCCAAGTTCTAAAAATGAGTAGCATAGCATTTTTTCCTCATTTAATTTTTGTGACCATAGAGTTTTATATGATATTCTCTTAAAAATTTTAACCTCTGGTGGTTATATTTGCTTTGTATTCCTAATAGGTGTGCATTTTCCTTTCCTCTTTCTTTAACTTGTTTTGCCAGGGTTATGTCTGTTGTCTTTCCCAAGACTGAGACTTTGTATTTATTTGTCAGGCACATTATCTTGCTTTCTGATTCATTGTGTTTGTCCGTTTAGAGGTGCTTTCTCTCCACATTCTAATCCTCTGAAATTGGGAAGCATCTTTCCATTGATGGTTACAGAGCATGTGACATTGCTTAATTGACAGCAGTTTTTCTTATACATAAAATAATGGTTCACCTTATAATATATGACATCCTAAATTTGATGAAAAATGGAATTTCTGCTTTTGTCTTTTTTAATGCATTGCTCTTGTTTTCCCTAAATTATTTTTTACATTAGTTTAGAATATGTAAAATATATGCTTTCTAGGTTTTTAAAAATGTTTGAGATTTATCTTGTGGGTTAATATAAGGTCAGTTTTTGTAATTGTTTCCTGGGTGCTGGAAAAGAGGGTGTAATTTCTCAAATTGCTATTGTAGTTACTCAATTATAATATTCAAATGAATAATTCAGACCACTTCGTCTCAGGACAGGACTATATGTTGGAATTCCCTGCCCCTGCATTATTGAATAAAAAGAAGTTTTTAAAGTTGTAGATTTATTTCACAGTGTCTCCTGCAAAGTGATCTTGGTTACATTTATTATTTGCTTTTACTTCTTTGAAATATTTAAGTCTGTGAAATGTTTTATTTTTCCTTTGCACTCATTTTATAAATCTTTAACTATATTTTGGATTTTAATGTTTTAAATTGCTTTGTCTTAAGAGTGAGCCTTGAAAACAGCATTTGTTGGACCCCATATGTGAGACCTGGCCTTTTAATAGAGGAGTAAAAGTCCCACATTTGTTTCATCTTAGCCATATTATTGGGTTGAATATCATTTTTTGCTCATGTTTTCTCATCCTTTCCTCATCTCCTCTCATAGCTGGCTGTAGACTGTGATGCTTTTCTATGTGGTGACTGGCAGATCCCCTCTCACATCCAGAGATGGAGAGCATGTTGATTGCATAGCTCCAAGCCCACTCCCACTTTGCTGGAGGCTAATCAATCGAAAGATGAGATTGATGGTATTGGGATGCGGACAGCCTAGCACAGTCCACTGGTCCCATTAGCAGGTGCTCCAGGGTCATTAGGGGTGGCCTCTTCTCTCTCATGAGAAAACATGAGAACTATCGTGGACTGTCTGCTTTCTCTGTGCCTGGCACTTCGCTAAGCTTTTTAATGCATTATTGCAGTGAATGCTCACAGTAGCCTAGTGAATAAGGCAGGCACGGAGAGGTTGCCTAGGGTCAAATACTGGAAAGTGGCAGAGCCAGGACTCTTCCCAGATGGTCTGGCTTGAAGCCCTGGGCTTTTAGCACTGCCCTCTCCTGACTCCCCACCTCTCCTGTGCAGGTCATTATTTTCCTCTTCTCCCTGGGGTTGCCACCTGTACGTCCTCTGCCATTTATGACAGTGGATGGCTTCCATCGGGTGCTGTATGAAGTGAGGTGAACTGTGGTACTTTCTGTTCTTGGGCCACAAAGTGGTGTTGCCTGGGGTTCCCGAGGGCATTAGTCCATGGCCTCAGCCACAGGCAAACTGGACCAATACCATCTCCCCTTTGTGTCCCATGTCCCTTGTCATTTGACCACGTATATGTGCCCCAGGTCCCCCCACTACAGACGAGTCCTGTCCTCAAGCCCTGGCCAGAGGCGTCCTGTGCGTCCCCATGAAAGCTCTCATTAGTGGACAGGTGGCCTGTGCGGCCCTGAGGCCTCTCCATCACCTCTTTCAGCTGCTGCTTCACGGCAGGTGCTTCCCAAGAGAGTCCGAATAGGCCCCCATCTCCTGCAAGGCCTCCTGTTGCCGCCTCCGAGCCAGCCAGCTTCTCTGCCTCCTACAGTCCCTTCAGCCTTACAACGATCCCCTCTCCCCTTGGGCCAATTGCACTGCATTCCACATACCTCAGAATACTCCTGATATATGCAGGAGTCGTAGCTGCCGCAGTTTCATTGAAAAGAGTGAAGCAGGATCCCATTCTGAGTCTCAGTGGGCCCTACATCCAGAGGACAGCTCAGAGCCCTGCCTGCACGTCTGATTGCCTTGGACAGATGCTGCCAAGCGCAGGTCGTGGTTTCAGTACTGGATTCCTCTTGAAAACCCAACCTGCTTCGGGGATGAGTTTGTTTATCGAAAGAGGAATCATTACATAATTCCTGGAAAGTGCAAAATAGGAAAAAATTGTCTGAAACAGTTTTCCCCCCGGCAGAGTCCTCCCTGTAGGACTTTCCCAGGGGGAGAGGGAGTTAGGCTTGGGGAGTGACTTTGGGTCAGTCCCTGGTATTTCCAGCTGCTTAGCTCCGTGGCTTGAGGCCTTGAATGTCGCCTAAGCAGCTATTTGCCTCTCGCAGCTGGTATGGGTTTTACTGGGATGATTCTCCTAAACGTCTGTGGATGTTCTGTGCTAACTGGTCTCCTGGGACTCTTCACCGAGTATCTCTTTCTCTGTGGAAAAATGCCCTCACACAGGACTAGTAGCCCTCACCGTGTGGGTGTGCGTTCCAAGGCCTTTCCATGCAAATCTCCGGCACTGAAAGCTTTGGTACATTGAGTTCCTCATGAAATATAATTTAAAAAACACTAAGAGAAAAACTACACTTAAAAAATAAGACTCTTTGTATCAAAAACTTTTTTTTTAATTACTTCAAAGTATAAAAATACTGGTGGGAAATAGTCATATTGCAGCTTAATTTTATCTGATAGCAACTTGTAAATGTCTAGTTCAGGTTGAAATAATGATATTAATAAAAGCAGGCAGAGCTTTGAAGGATGGTTACACCATTTATTTCTAAATAGCTTTATTGACTTAGAGAATGGTTTTCACTACCTATAATTCCTTCCAGGAAACAGCTAAATAAAATGAGGAATGTAATGCATTTTCAAAGATTTAGAGCTGATTCTAAAAGTACATGCAGTGTGGAAAATTATGATCTCTCAAGGAACAAAAATCAGGCATTCTGACAATTCTAAATAGTAAGAGAACATTTAAACATTCTTGGTAAATTTACTCAGACTTCTAATATGTGAAGTAAATATCTAGAATCTAAGCTATTCGTTTTTTTAAAGTGTAAGCCTTTATTTTCAAAGATGAACTTTGAAATTGAAAATAAAGGCAAGTCATTTCTGAGTATAAAATAAGCAGACCCACACTATTAGATTTCTAAAAGGACTTGAAAAGAGAAGGGTCATTGGTCACAAAGAAGTGTTTACACTGAGGCCCGGAGGCCGTGAGGACAGTGGGGTGAGAGAAGGGCTCCCGCAGGCCCTCGGCAAGGAGGGGATGTCTCCACGCGGTCCCAGCTGATCAGCAGGCCTGTCAGGTGATGCACTCCCGGACTCCGGTTCTGCTCTGGGGCAGCTCACATCCCAGGTCTGATACAGGCAGTGAACACAAAACCAAAAAGTGAGTTGAGCCCTATGAAGGGAAAGACTAAGGAGTAAATAAAGGGGGGCCGACCGAGTCTCGGGGACCAGGAAGGGCTTTCTG